GCCCCCCTCACCGTCCTTATTTTCACTCTTGTCGGGGCTCATAAACTATATCTTATGTATTGATGGTATAATGACAAATACGTTTTATGGGCTTGCTTGTTCATTGCTGTTTTCAACTTAAAAGAAATTACATTGTCTCTGTGGGCTTCTAAAATTATCTCCTCCCCTGCCCCCCGCCTGTACCTGTGGTACTCGAGGGCTACACCAGTCCTGACTTCATAGTCCTTTTTTCTATTCCCTTGATTCAGTCTGGGTAAGAGAAGAAAATTTACCTCAGTCTCAACCATTCGGAAGAATCAAGTGCTATTTCTTTGCAAATATTCCAAATTCAGAAAAATCCCATAGAAAGCCAACAATTAAGTAATATTTATCAAATTGTGAGTTGTAGAGTCATTTGAATGGATTGTAACCAGTTGTTTTATAATTAAAATATATTAGAATGGTACAGAGCAGGAGGAATAGGCTAGAACCATACAGAAAGCATCCGAGTATACTTAACAGTTATAAGTATATGTGTGAGTCCAGGAGGGTGAGATGAAGTGCATTTCTAACAATGAGTCTCAGCTACAGTTCTGTCTTGTAATGCTGATATGATAGGAGCATATTTAGGATATGCTCCTATCTCCATTTAGGATATGCTCCTATCTCCATTTCTTTATGTCCTTCAGCTATATTCAGCTTTAAATGTGATCTCTGAGCTGGGCGGTGGTGGTACACGCCTTTAATCCCAGCACTCGGGAGGCAGAGACAGGCGGATCACTGTGAGTTTGAGGCCAGCCTGGGCTACAGAGTGAATTTCAGGAAAGGTGCAAAGTGACCCAGAGAAATCCTGTCTTGAAAAACCAAAAAAAAAAAAAAAAAAAAAAAAAAAATGACCTCTGGAAAGAGTTGGTGATGTTAGTTTACCCTTTGGGATTAATCATGACCTTTCAGAACATAGAGTTTGATGCTGTATCTCATGATCTAAATTCCAGTTCTTCTTGGCTGTAGTGCGTTCACTACATTATAACTTCTCTATGACCTAGTTTACATGCACACACAGGAATAATGCCAGTCTCCTAGAGTCATTGTGAGACATGAATGGGCAATGCCTATAAAGTATTCAATACAGCACAGTTAGTAAATGCTGTCTGTCTAGTACATGTTCTGTGTATGGTTGTAACTATTGACTTCTATGTATAACCTCATTTGAATTAGACACTTGTGTAGTTGCTTGTTTGATATCTCCACTTAGATGTTTAGCAAACATCTCACACTTGGCAACTCTTTCTATGAGGGGTGGGGAGTGGTTAGATGATCTTGGAGCTAGGTGGTTATAAGCCTAGATCCACTAAGTCTTTCTTGAAGGACTAAGGTGGAGAGTGATGAGGTCACTCAGTGTCCTCTGGCCTCTTCACATGCACCTGTACATATGCATGCATGTGTGTAAAACACACACACACACATGTCTTCTTATGTGTCACATAGTATATGGGGGAGTGGGTTAGATGGTCTAAAATTAATCAGAAGGAAGCTAGAATTTTGTACTTGACATCTCTTTAAGATATTTTATACATACATCAATTATCTTCCATCACATAACACCTTCATTCACTTCAGTGCATAATTATATAGAACTTCAGTTTTAGTGTCACTTACATACCGAATATTCTATATCATATAATATACAGGTAAGTGGAGAGAGCATAAGGAAGGTACCTGCCTCTTCAATTCAGTGAGTAAATGATTTCATAAGGCAAGAAGATAAACTCTCTCAAGCTAAAGGTTAGTGATGTTCATTACTGCTACTGGCAGTGCAAACCCTCTCCCTGTTACACAATATCCTTTCAACAATTTGAACTTCTTAGGAAAAATAAGTAACCCTCTGCCCCCACTGTCCAAAATAAGACCTGGTGTCTGAATGCCCTACAGTGATACATTGTCTTCAATTTCTTTAGCATTGACATTATCTTCAGCAAGCATCCATCTATCAATACTTGTAACTTTGAAATGTTGAACAGTAGCTTAAAACCCAGGAAGGGCTATATGGGTTAAATAAAAGACATGGCTCAGAAAATTTCTATTCTCTCTCAGTCTAGACACAACTGAAGTTGGTATTTCCACATAGTTGTGAAAGATCTATGCTTTATTACTCTTATCTAATTGTTGTGAGGGTGTAGGTGAAGAAGTAGATCTTACACTCAACTTTGGACTTGTTTCCAAAATGATGTTCTTAAGTTCTGTCAGGGACAGGGTATAGTTGAAAGAACGCTTAAAGTATTTGATCAGTTTTCAAAATATCCAGTCCTCTTTATTCAGCAATTATATGGGTTAGTGGAAGGAGTTTGTATCTAAAATGAATTCATGATCATCAAGAAAAATGAATACATGTGTGTAAGTATCTTCTTTGAGCATTGCAAAATGTGTAAAATATTAAAGATGGACTTATACACAATGAGTGGGTTTGGGGGGGCAACTATTTGACAAAAGTACTCTAATAGGGTGAGAGTTTATTCAGAAGTAACAAAGAATAACTTTGTGTCTGGTGGGAAGAAGGAAACAACAGAGCACTGCTTGCCGGACTAGTTGTTTATAAACTGCTGTTAAGAGGCAAATCTTGCTAGACCCAGATTATACAATTTATTGAGAGTGTGCAGGCTCCCCTGTTCAGCAGCCCTGAAAATGACACTAATAGCTTAATTACAGCTTTCTGCTTAAGGAGATAAACAAGGCTGTTTGCTTTGTCTCTTCCTTTAAATCAGGGGTTACAATTACTTTTAAACACAGTAGAAAGGCACATCTGTGAGTGCATCTACTTTGTTAAGAAAGCAACCAGAAACCAGCTGGAAAATAAAGAAAGCCCCAGGAGTGAGCAGGCAGTCTAACATGAGAGAGAGAGGGGAAAAAAGTCCCATTTGAGCATGGAGCAGTAGACATTAGACACAGTAAACAGGCAGCAGTGTGTGTGTGGGTGGGGGCCAGGAATAGAAATGCTTTTGGGGAATATATTTTCCCGGGATTCCCTCAGAGACATCACAGGAGCACTCCCCTCACTGCTGTCCTTCAGGCAGCCATGTCTCTGAGCCCCATCTTTCACTTCAGCACTAGGAAGCCAGGACAGCTCCTCAGCCCGCCTTACAGAGCTGTGGCTGCCTGAGGCCTTCAGCATTTTCTCTACCTGGTGTTGATCTTGTTCTCTGTACCTTTAGGGAGACACAGTGGGGACTGGGTCCATGTCTGGCCTGTTTATTTCTAGATGAGATGAAGACATATTATGTCTGAACCAGTCTTTTAGTTGGACTCCAGAGCAATTTAACCAGAATAAAAGATTAAGTCATTGGTTTGAATCTGGGGTTCAGTGTAATTGGTAGCTGGAACTTGAGACCCTTCTTTAGTGCTTTATTCTATTACTTTGTTATAGCACTACCAGGAAGGCAAACCATCTTTACGAACTGTACTTTAGTTCACTTTCTTTTCTACTAAGTTGAAGACACCAAAAATTCCTAATATCTTTAGTCTGGGAGAACAATGTTCATCCTCCTAAAAGAAGCACTTTCCAGTTCTTTGGAAGACCTCTCAGAAACATGTGCTGGACCTGGAAGTCACAAGCAGGGATTCCCAGAGGAGCACTATCAACTACCACAGCATACCACAATGACCAGACTTCCACACTGAAGGTCTCTCCCCTCCAATTACAAAGCAAGGGCAACCATTTAGGTAGTGGCCACATACACATCGTTTGAAGAGTCAAATCACTAAGAAAAAAAACATACTTTGTTACTCTGGCCCAGTCAGTTCTCACTGTTTTAGCCATTAAAAAGTTGCTGACCCAGTGAATCTTTTTCTCCAAGCAGCAGTCTTGTGTCTAAACTCTTCTCCACAGGACATCACATACTTATTCTTTGTTCCAGCACACACGTGTGCACAAAATGCACTCGCTCGCACACACACAGACACACCAATTCAGTTCTTAAATGTTTTTTTAAGAAGTGCTGTCTGATTTTTAAAACTTCGTTTAAAATTGAGCCTTAAGGGGAAAGCTCTCAGTCTTTTTGCCTAGAGAAGGCAGCATGGAGAGGAAGAAATACAGGTAGGGAGGGCTGGGGGTTAGGAGCCATTCAGAAGAAGTGGTCTGTGAAGTTAGTGGTGAAAACTTCTTAGGAGAGAGCAACTCCGCCGTGAGTTTGGAGCAGAAGCGGCAAGGGACAGACTGGTGTCTCTTGTTAGGTGACCAGGGGTGCCTGAGGCACACCCCTGAAGCATAGTAACTCTGAATCTCTGGGTCCCTTCATTTACTCTTTCCCCTTCCCCCTCCCTCCCTTCTCTCCTTTTTTTTTTTCCTCTTTCCCTCCTTCCCCATCCTACTCTCCCTTTTCACTTAATTCTGTCTGGGCCACTTGGAACTCATGGAGTCCACCCAACTGCTTGCTGCATACCAGGCTTTCCTGCTTTCCTCTTTACCACCAACTTGGCTTTCCAGCCGCTGTTCCCCAGTCAGCCCCGCCCCCTCCCCCGCATCAGTGAGGGGGTACCCTCCAGAGAAAATCACCCGCGTCTGAATGTCACCAACAAGTTCCACCCTGTAGTAACCCTGCCGGCGGCGACAGCCTCATCCAGGAAGCCCGGCCATCTCCTCCGCCCACAGCCGCGCGGCATTCCCTCCCCGCCAGTGATTCTTGGGGTCATTGTTACCACTGACACTTTCTTTTCTTCCTGGAAGGGGAAAGCCCGCGTGGGTGTCACTGGTTGGGTGTAAGGCTCTACGCGCTCCCCTCCCCCACCTCTGCAATACACACACACACACACACACACACACACACACACACACACACACACACATATACATACGCCTTCCCCACGCGGGCGACACAAAGGGAGAGAGTGGAAGAGCAGGGCGCCCGCAGGGCAGGAGGGCGCAGGGAGGGGGCACCAGGGAGGGGCGGGGGCTGATCCGGCCCAGGAGGAAGGGAGGGAAGGAAGCAGGTGCTAGACACCCAGGCGAAGGCGAGGGGCGTCCTTACCTGCCCCCAGGTTAAAGGAGATCCTGGCCTCTGCGAGATATGGCGTGTCGCTCTTGGAGCGGACTCTTCTGATGGGCCGCCGGTCTATGTCATCCTCCGAAGAAGCCGCCATTAATGTGGGAGGCAGGAGCAGGGTCGCCCGGCGAGCTGAGAGGAGAAGGAGATGGAGAGAGGGGGAGGGAGAGAGGCGGAAAGGGGGAGGAGAGGAAAGGAGGAGGCTCACACACATAGAAAGGGGGAGGGGAGGGGGAGGGGAGAGGAGGGGAAAGGGGCAGGGAGGGTGGGGGAGAGAGGGAAAAAGGTGAAAAAGAAGAAGAGAAAGAATGAGAGAAAGAGAGCAGAGAAAAGGGTGAAGGGAGAGAAAGAAAATCCGTTAAGGATTGGTGGACTGGAGCAAGATCAGGTTAGCCCTGGTCTGTGCCCAGGGCTCCCCCTAACTCCTCTCCCAGCGGCGGGCCAAAGGGTCAGTGCTCTTGGCCAACACCCCGCCTCCTGCCGCAGCCCTGTCTCAGCCACTGGCACAGATAGGCTAATGCGAATAGGAAGACTCTAAAGCCAAGATGCCCAGTCAGCACTGTGCCCTCTCCCGCCAAATACACTTTCTCTCCTTTCAAGCGCAGGCGGCTACAGTCTCTACAACCCAGGGGACTCTCTAGCCTGAAGCTGCTGGAGGACCACAGAGGCCAGCTGTTCTGCTCCCTGATGCCACTCCTGGAGCCTGTCACTCTTGCCCCATTTGCCTTGGGGTAGGGCACCTACCTTTTCCAGGATAACCTCTCTGTTCTGTCCCTCCCAACTAGAAGCCCAAATAAAGTTTGAAACAGGCAATGGCTTCTTTGGAAGCTCTCTTATCTTGCCTCTTACAGCTTAGGGTGGGACACGGTGGGAGAGTGTGCTCAGGTTTGGTAGGCTGGGCTTTATAATTGATATTTTCAATGCACACCAGGCTTATTCACAGAACCCATGGGCCTCTTCCACATTCACTAAGGTGTAGGATGCGCTTCCCTCTACATAAATACCTACTACGTGAATCTTCAGCTTTTGCTTTCGGTCACATCTAATACAAATAACGATGTTTGCACTGGACTTCTCTTTGACAGCTCTGCACCATTGTCGCTGAAGGAGAGGCAGCGGTCAAAGCAGCTTGGATTCCTTTGAACATTTGTACTGCCTGACTGTAACACTCCACAAAACACAGCACACGAGCCAGAAGGTTTTCTGGGGGTGTGATCAGAACCTGTTTGATGCCACCACTGAAACTATTGATGGGCTAAACTCCTTTGTGTGTGTCTTTCTGAGTCTTATCACACAGGATCTTTTTTCTGCCCTGATGTCACTATTCTTCAGTCTAATAAGTGCCCCACGCCAGCAGGTGGATACCCTGACCTCCTTGGTACAAAGGAGAGCTCAGTATGGCTTCCTGCCCTTTGGTCTCCCAGCTCAGGCTCTACAAGGCTCTCTCCTCTGTACTGCAGCTGCCAATTCCCTCTCATTTTATACTCACCCCTCTCTGGGCTCCCCAGTCTCTCTCCACTGGACCCTTGCTTTCACATAGTCATTGTCACCCTTGGCTTCGCTGCTTCTCTAACCTCAAACACAGTCTCTGTGATTTTGCTCGACCTTCCTATGGAACTCCAGCACCCTAGGATTCCCATTTTCTTACTTCCTGTTCTCTTCTTTCATTCCATTTCCTGCTTCCTAACTTCATCTCTCTACCAACGTCATTTTAAAAGGCCACCAATGTCTTCCTAACAGTTAGATCCATCTTTTTCTTGGTCTCTTTGAAATATTTCATAATCTGTTTGTCTTGATATTGTCTCTTCCTTTCCTCTTCCAGTACTGAACTACTTCCCTAACTACTTAATCTCTAAATTGTCAACTAGTTCTTGTGGTGATAGATTGTGTACCCTAATAAAAATCTGCCTGAAGATCAGAGAACAGAACATGCCACTAGATTAAACATAGAGGCCAGACAGAGGTGGCACACACTTTTAATCCTAGCACTCGGGAGGCAGAGATCCATCTGGATCTCTGTGAGTTCAAAGCTAGCCTGGATTACATGAGATTGATTCAGTCTAGGAGAGAAACAGAGCCAGGCAGTGGTGGCACACACCTTTAATCCCAGCACTTGAGATCTCATGTCTTTGTTACCAATATTTGGGGAAGCACACACTCAGTTAATCCCAGCACTAGGAAGGAAGTGATATGGCTGGGCAGAGAAAGGTATATAAGGTGTGAGGAGATAGGAACTAAAGCCCTTTTTGCTGGAGCCCTTTTGACTGATGACTCAGAGACATTTAGTCAGAGGATTCGTGGAGTTGGTGCTGTGAGACATGGTAGTGACTTGTTCCTTTGTCTCTCTGATCTTTCAACATTTAACCCAATATCTGGTTCCAGGTTTTTTTTTTTTTTATTAAAAAGACCATTTAGGATTCGTGTTACAAGTTCTACACACATTAGTCTGAGATTGCATATCCTATCACTCACTGCCTGCTCCCCTAACCCCCAAGCCTAACTTCAACCTTTCATTGTACCTTTCTCTCCCACTATTTCCTTAGAATCCACTCAGATGGCCCATATCTGACGCGTTTTGGATAGACCTGCCCCTGTGGTAATGTGCTACACCGCAGATCTCTTTGAACTTTTCGTGTTCCCCTAAGAATGTATTTCTGCTGTGAGCCTACTGCCCTGGTTTGCTTCCTATCGCTGCACTAAACACTGACCAAAAGTAACTCGGAAGAGGACGAGGTTTATTTGGCTTACAGGCTATAGTCTGTCATTCCATCATCAAGGGAAACCAAGGCAGGAACCTGGAGGAAGGAACTGAAGCAGGGACCATGGAGGGACGTTGTTTACTGGCTTGCCTTCAAGCTCACATTCAGTTACTTTATATAACCCAGGACTGCATGACAAGGAGTGGTACCACCCGCAGTAGGCTAAGCCCTTCTCCATCAGTTAGCATTCAAGAAAATGCTCCCCCCAGGCCATCTAATGGAGGTAGTTCCTCAATTGAGGTTCCTTCTTCCTAGGTGCCTCTAGTTTGTGCCAAGTTGATAAAAATTAACTAGCAGCCCTAGCACATAGGAAATGTTCAGAAGATGCTTCTGAATAAAAGAAGAGCGAGAAGGAGGGAGAGAGGAAGAAGGAAAGATGAAAGGAATGAAAGAGCATTGAGTAACTAATGAGTGGCTAACTTGGGGACCAAGTCAATTGAGGTGATATTGTGTTCCCCAAAATATTATGCACCCTAATAAACTTATCTGGGGACAGAGAACAGAACAGCCACTAGATACAGAGGCCAGAAAATGATGGCACACATGCCTTTAATCCTAGCATTCCAGAGGCAGAGATCCGTCTGGATCTCTGTGGGTTCAAAGCCACACTGGAAACAGCCAGGCATGGTGACTCACGCCTTTAATCCCAGGAAGTGATAGCAGGAAGCAGAAAGGTATATAAGGCATGAGGAACAGGAACTAGAGTCTGGTTAAGCTTTTAGGCTTTTGAGCAACAGTTCAGCTGAGATCCATTTGGGTGAGGACACAGAAGCTTCCAGTCTGAAGAAACAGGATCACCTGAGGAATTGGCGAGGTGAGGAAGCTGTGGCTTGTTCTGCTTCTCTGATCTTTCAGTGTTCACCCCAATACCTGGCTCCAGGTTTGTTTTTATTAATAAGACCTTCTAATATCCGTGCTACATTGTCAATATCTCCCTGGATTCAGATACTATGCCTTCCACAGGAGGTGGTTCCAGGACTCATTGTGGGTACCAAAAGCCTAAAATATTCAAGATCCTTATATAAAATATTTGCATGTCTTTCTGTATGCTTTAACTCACCTGTAGATCAACCAGTTCCCTTTTAATAATTTATTCAATGTAGAATTGATGTAAATAGTTGCTATGTTATATTGCATGGGGAATAATGACAAGAACAAAGTCTTTTCATGTATGGTACAGATGTAATTCCCCCCTGTATTTTCCAATATTGCTTGAATTTGAGGATGAAGGATAGATATACATAACTGGCTGATATGCTAATTGTAGATGTTTGGTGTACCAGATCTATCTATCTGTCTATCTATCTATCTATCTATCTATCTATCTATCTATCTATCTATCTATTCATCTACTTATGTATTTGAAACAGAATCTTGTTATGTAGCTCAGGCTGGCCCTGGATTCACGCTGTTGCCCTCTCTGGCTTTGAACTCTCTATCCACTTGCCTCAGCTTTCTGGTTGCTGGAGTTACTGGTATACACCACTATGCCAGGCTCTAGGCACAGTTTAAATTCACTCATCTATTATATTTGACTGATTGTTATGTCCTGTGTATTCTCAGTGAAACACAGATTTTCAAAAAGACGACTGTATTGTAATGGGGAAAAGGTGAATGGATCCTTAGCACATAATCATGACATGCTGGTTTCGGTTCTTCAGAAGGAACAGAAAGTAAAGAAGCTCAAACACCTCTGCATGTTTTATAAACCATTTCCCTTTGAGTTAATGTAGGGCTTTTTGTTTAAAATGCCTGGGATTCCCTCTCATGTTATTCATGAGCCATGCGTGAAGAAGAATGATAAAGTTGTTTGGAGGACTAGCTAGTCAGAGATTTCCCAGTGTTTCTTTAACTCCACATATTTATTCTTGATATAGAAAAATAAATCTGTGAAAAGTTCCTATTTCTTACTCATTTAATACGTTAGATGTTGATTAAGGATTAAATGCTGTGAGTAGCTTTAGGTTTACCTTCATTTATAGAGATTCAAATTATTATTGTTGTTGTTGACAGAATCTGGCTCTATAGCCCAATTATGTGTATGGGCTGGCCTAGAACTTACAGTTGTTCTCCTGCATCTGCCTTATGTTCTGGGAGTGCAGGTATTGCTACCACACCTAGCTACATACATTTTTCATATAAGTTAACTATAGACTATTCTATTATTCAAGTACTTTTAGATAGATTCACTTTTTAAAGAAAATGGTAATGGAATACTATGCCTTGCTGCATACTGTTGAATTCAGTTATTATTCTATTTCATTTGTGATCATTATCTTCCATTTTTCTCCTTCCCTAATATGCTTTCTTCTTTGTCTTGCAAATGTTTTTAAAATTCTTTCCACATTCCCTTTTTTCTTGCATTTTTCTTTA